ACCCACACACACCCAGCCTGGGTTTAAGCCACTGGGTCCGGGACTCGAACCGCAGTCGACAATGTGGGAGTCCAGTGACATAGCCATTATGCTAACTGCTGATCCCAATAATTCTTTTTAAAAAGAGAGAGAAAAAAATTACATGAAATTGCCAGTTTTGAGTTAAAAAATATGTGCCAACTTGATAGGTCAAAAGTACTGACTCATCATTGTTTTATATGCATTCCATGGATAACCGGTGAGGTTTCAGGTATTTTTATTTTTTGTTATTTTAGTTTTGTTGTAGGGCATATGCATATACTAGAGAGAGAGAGAAAGGGAGAGAAATCACCTCCTGGGGAGATGGCTATGCTGCAACCCCTTCTCCATTCTCTTCTCAGGACTTTGGGCACACATGCACATGCACCCAGCATGATTTTCAAGCAGCCAGATCCAGCACTCAAACCTCATAGTCTGCCATGTTGGATTCACCCACCTTAACCACCTTGCCACCTGGCTGGCCCGAGGTTTCAATTTTTTAAAATTTTGAGTGTTTCTTCTGTGCATGCGTGCCCAAGATTCCGAGAGGGGAATGGAGGCTAAGGACCTGCGGCAGGGCCATCCCCTCCAGGGGGTGATTTCCCACTTTCTATCTGTCTGTCTGTCTCTCCAGCGAGCACACACACCCTATAGTGAAAATCTCTCTCTCTAAAAAAAAAAGTGCTTCTTCTTTTATAAGCCGCCCATAGTCTTTATCTAGTTTTCTATGAGGTTACTTACAGTTTTCTGAGTTTATAAAGGCTTTGAATATTAATATGCAAAAGATACCACATAAAAGATACCCTCTGTCAAAGTGTAAACATTTTCCTGAGTTTGTCATTGGCTTTTAAAATTTTGTTTGTGGCACCTTTTTTCTTTTTCAATGAAAAGAAGGTTTATGCCTTTTTTAGGTTTGTTATGGTTTGGGATTTGATTTGGCTAAAAGCAACTAAAAAGGAAACTAGCCGTTAAACAGAAAGAGACTAGCTTTGTCCTGAGCCGTAGGAAGACTGGGGTAGGCCATACAGAATTGACAAAATGACTGCACAGTGTCCCCCAGGACCCAGCTCTTTCCTGGGGCTTCTCAGCACATCCGCTTGGTGCTGCTGCTGTTGCCTCAGGTTGCAAGGTGGCTGCTCCAACTCCAGACACTATGTCCTTGTCCCAGCAGGAAGACAAAGGAAGGTCCAAGGGCCAGTGCTTTTCCTTCAAGGCTCAGATTCTTCGTTCTAAAAGGGAAGCCCTCCCAGTGCCCTCTTCTGGTATCTTCTTGGACACAACTGGGTTACATGACTGCCCCAGCTAGGAGAAGGCCTGAGATGTCAAATAGTTTGCCTTGAAGGCAAAGAGGGGATTTTTGAGTGGTTTTTTTTTTTCCACAGCAGATCCCAGTGTCTGCTCTGTTGTTGGAGGATGACTCCATAATGCTTTTCAAGCTTTCACGTGCTTCTAATCACCTAGAAATCATGTCAAAATGCAGATTATGATTCAGCAGGTCTAGGGCGGGGCCTAACTTGTTCATTTTTTTTTTTTTTGAGAGAGGTTTTTTTTGCTATAGGGCATGTGTGTACCCCAGACAGACAGAGAGACAGACAGACAGAAAGTGAGAAGTCACCCCCCAGGGGGCATGGCCACGTCACAATCCCTTCTCCTCCATTCTCCTCTAACGACCCTGAGCACATACGCACACACGCCCGGCGTGAGTTTTAACCGGCGTGAGTTTTAACCCACCGGGTCTGGGACACATACCGCAGTCGACTACGTGGGAGTCCAGCGACATAGCCATTACGCCAACTGCTGGTCCCATAACATGTTCATTTTAAACAAGCTCTGGGGTGGTGTTCTGTTAACTATTGCTGTGTTACACACCCTCCCCAAACCAAGCAGTTGAGGACAACTATTTTATTTGCTCATGATCGTTTGGGTCTCTCCTGGGGTCATTCACAGAGGTGCAGGCACCTGGCAGATTTTGAGACTTGATGACCTAAGCTAGCCTCATTCCACTTGTGGTTGATACGGGCGGCCAGCTGGGCCTCTCTTCCATGTGGCCACTCGTCCTCCAGCGATCATCCCTGCCTTCTTCACAGGGTAGCTTTGGGGTTCCAACAGAAGACATTGCCCAGCCTCTAGAGATCTGGGCTCAGAAGTCCCACAGTGCCATTCTGCCACAATCCGTCAGTCAAAGTAATTTGCTAGTTTAGCCCAGAGTCACAGGATGAGGAAACAGACTCTACTTCCTTTTTTGTTTGTTTGGTTGGTTCTGTTAGGTTTTCTCCATAGGGCGCATGTCCTTTCTGAAGACAGAGAGAGAGAGAGAGAGAGAGAGAAATTGAGAAATCGCTCCCCAGAGATGGCCAATGCACAATTTCCTCTCCCACATCTGCTCTCAGGATTTGGGGCATGCACACACATGCACCTGGTGTGATTTTCAAGCTGCCAGATCTGGTTTTTGAACTGCAGTTGGCCATGTAGGAGCCCAGCACCTTTACTACCACCACCTGCTGGCCCCAAACTCTACTTCTTTTTTCTTTCTTTTTGGAGAGGTTTTTGCTATAGGGTGTGTGTGCTCGCTGGAGAGACAGAGAGAGACAGAAAGTGAGAAATCACCTCCCAGGGAGGATGGCCATGCCACAATCCCTTCTCCTCCATTCTCTTCTCGGGATCTTGGGCATGCACGCCCATGCGCCTGGCATGGCGTGCAGGCCATGGGTCCGGGACTCAAACCGCAGTCAACTACACAGGAGTCAAGCGACGTAGCCATTACACTAACTGCTGGTGGCAAACTCTACTTCTTAATGACAGGAGTGGTCAGGTCACCTTGTGGAGAGGTGCACAGGTAAGAACAGGAGGAATCGTTGCTGACGTCTTTGCTCACATCTTATCTCGGCTATGAAAACTCCAGTTCCTGGACCCCCATTTAAGTAGCAAATGGGTTGGCTACACATTGAAATCATCTAGGAGCTTAAAAAATACTGATATCTGGGACCAGCAGTTAGCGTAATGGCTATGTCGCTGGACTCCCACGTAGTCGACTGTGGTTCAAGTCCCGGACCCGGTGGC